TTTCGTCCGTCATAAGGTAAAATTATTAGACAACTTCGGGGCTAAAGATATATTTAAAAGTTGTCAGTAAAATTGGTTTGGGAGAAAGTGAAACGGCATAGTACAAAAATGATACACAGGATATATTAGAAAATACTTTTTTTTATAAAACAAAGAAACTAAAAAAGGTAGATATAATAAATAAAACAGTATTCTAATAGAAATTAGCTTCAAAACAATCAAAATCTGACCTTTCGAAAACACAAAATAGAGGCTGGAAACAAAATCTGACCTTTCGAAAACACAAAATAGATCCCTTGATTTGAAGATTACCCGTGGCTTATTGAGCTCAAATCCCCTTCTTCTCGCCAAAACTCATGGAATTAAGCGAAAATCTGCCGGTTTTTTAAAACTCTACGAGAATAAACTTTCTTTGTTTAGAGCCTTAATTCCTCTCCTCATACCCTTTGTCAAGCTTGTACTTCTTTGTACCAGATTTTACTCGTAGCCAATCAGATCTCTCTTCTGCAATTTATTGGATTCGAAATTGGACTTTAAAGCGCCGGGTCTTCAAATTTTTGTGAAAACTTATTTAAATTAAAACGCGATTAAGGCAGTTAATATGTTGTTAGATGAATTGGCAAATACGCTGGGTTACACAACTTCAGGTCGATGTAACGTGTTAGTCAGGGGCGTATCAAATTAATTTTTTTATATATTTAAATATTCGATATTTATAGGAAAAAGAGCATGCTGCAACATTAAAAGTTTTACTTTCAATCGTCCATAAAAGGAATAAAAAATTAATGGTCAGCATTTATTTTCCTACCGCATATGAAAGGATTAAGGTTCATAATAAACGTCTCATATTAAATCCCCGTTAAAAGTACTTTTAGTCAAAGTTTCTCATAAATTTAGGCGACAAGTTTTAATGTATTTACTAATATTTCTGCCTATCAGATGGCCTGATACACACATTTAGAATGTTGAAGTAAATTTGTGTTTTTAATTTTTTAGGTTGCAATAAAAACGTTGATATAAAGTTTAATTATTTGCTACAAAATACCAACTTAGTAATTGCTAAATAAGAAAAGGCTATTTTTTATATATGTTCAGGGATTCCACAGTATTCACTACCTTCCCTCGCTCAACCGTTTTCATCTCTCTCTCTGTTGTTCCATTCTCCATAGTTTAGGCCTCTCTTACTCATGATGACGTCGTCTACTTCGTTTCTCTAGGATCTTCGTTGTCTTCTTCTTTTCCTCCTTCATCTGCTGTCGCTAGTTCTTCTTACCACTTGTCCATACCACTTTAGTATTTTTGATTCTATATATATATATATATATATATATATATATTATATATATATATGTGTGTCAAAAGAAAAGGCAAAAAAGTATTTTTGAAGTGTGTATGTTTTTAATAATTCCTATCTGAGCGCTTTACAAAGCCATCATCGGAGCTATGCTACAATAAAATGTTCTTATAAGTACTGATTGGTGAAGATTTTAATTTTTTTACTTAGGTCAATTTATAAATACCACTACAATGGAGAGATCTCATTTGCTTATATGTTAAAATATTGATTTTTTATTTAATTACTTAGTTGTTAAAATTCTTAAAAAAACATATAAAAAACCGACACTGGACTTCACAGACACATTGAAAAATTTTTTGTCATGGTACGGGTGTAAGAACCCGACCATTGTTTGCTGTGAGGAGGTAGACAGAATAGAACTAATGAAATCAAATGTCGGTCCTTTTAAACGATTTTTCAAAAGTGACAGTTGTTTTTAAGATTGTTTGTGAGATTCTTTTAAATTCCTACAAAATTATTTAATAGTTTGGAATGACTAATAGTCATCAAAGACTTTCTAAAAATTAAGTTTTTAAGTCTTTAAATCAAATCTTATGTGTTCATTCATACCATATCATTACCAACGAATAAACATATGTTTATTCGTTGGTGATTTTTTACTGGACGAAAATCTAGCTTACATGTTGGATATATAGAGATAATAATATTACCTGATATTTAGATAGATTTTATTAAATATAATTAAAATTAATAACAAAGTCTCCGTTCAAAGTTACTACGCAAAAATAACACCTTTTCTTTCAATAGGACGGTTTGCAGATAAATATCTAAAATCAAATTAAGAGGCGAGATCGAACGCAACGGAATACTCGAGCTGCAAAATCTCTTTACAAAATAAAAAACAAATAAATGGATAAAAAACTGACAGATATAACGACTATACTCCCTGTCGCCCAATTTATATCACTACAGTTTTCTGCGCTCTTTATTACTTTTTATTGCTACAATGGCGTTACAAGTGTACTGTACTAAGAATTTACTTTGTTCAATACGTGAGACCAGTTTGTCTTTTATTTAACAGTATTTTAAACATAATGAAATGTATCGTTTCTGACATGATGATCAATATCTCTTCTCCTCGATCTTTAAAAAGGAATTGCAGTTGTTGAAAATACAACTTACTAATGTACGTAATTTTATAGAAAAATAAAAATTTTCTTAAAAGCTAATATTTATTAAGTTTTAATTAATGAATAATAATATAATTAAAGAAGTTTATTAAGAATTTCTTAATTTATTTATATCGATAAAGAGTTGTGATCAAAAGAGCTCGGATTTATAGGCAACAGAAATTGAAAAAAGTTGTCTCTATAGGCAAAGATTATTAAAAAGTAACGTTCATCAATTTCAAGCTGATAACTATGATTGAATTTGGCATGCGCAATTGGACTTAAGATCTGACACGCTCTTGTAGTCACTTCCAATCAAGACCTGAAACTAGCAACACCTATAGCATAGTTAGACCGGTCTGGTTATAATTAGTCTAGGCTAGGATGCAACCAAAAGTCGACTGCGTTCCAGAAAATCTATAATACAAACTGCAGGATCAGTTGCAACCACAGATTTTAACATGATCATCAAATGGATGCATGAATGGTCAGGGGCTCAACAAAATACAGCCATACCTCGCATCACAGCCATACCACATCAGAACTCAATATGGTCGACGTAAGATACATTATACAAATGGAACAAGCTATGATCATCGTCATGCAGCTGCGGCGAGGTCCAATCTATCAAGCACATAATGGAGGAGTGCCACCAGTGAGTCTACGAAGGCAGCTCACAAGACTTCCTGTTTGCGACGATCGAGCCGATTAACTATATCAACAACCTCGACGTTTGCCTATCAACTGAGCATGATTTAAGTAATTTTATGTCGAATCAACTTTAACCTTTATTGAAATTTTTATTGTAATATTATAGATGTGTCGATATGCCATAGGCTAAATAAAAAATAATAGGTCGATTTTCACTCCTTTCAGTTTATCTATCCAAGGTGTATGCCATCTTTCTTCCGCTATCACTCTTGTCGATTATACAGTACCATTTCAATATTTTTTGTCATTATTTATTGTTGTCGCATGGTCAGACTAATTTCATTTAAGTTTATTAATTCGTTTGATATTTTAGTCCATACAATCCTAAATCTTAACATACCCTTGATATATTTTAATAAGTAAAATATGAATATTAATTTAGAACCCATACGGATTAAGTGAGACTTAATCCCGTATATGAAAATTTACCCAACCATCCCGTACACTCTTCGAATCAAATATCTATCGAAATTATTTCTATAACATTACATTTAAGAGTCTACCGCTTCTGTTTAAAATCTGTTTAGATCCTTTTGAAAAGAGCAAGGCCTTTCGACGAACTTCGGATTGCGTATACCAACCCTCTTACGTAATCCGGGTAAATCCATCAAAACGGAACGGCAAAAAATGTTTTTGTTGAGTGTCAGTTGGTCCACAACCTTCGAAATTATTTTGTTTGTAGTCTGACAGGTGTCTGTCAACAAGTATGTTCTTCGTCCCCTGTTATTTATTACCATCAAAATACAGTAATTTAAGAATGTTTGTAAAGATTAATCGACACAAAAAAAAATTATTGTTGCTGGTATATTGGCTAACAAATAGGGTAGACAACCCAGTGATTGGCATGTCACATTCCTGTTAAGGTATTAAATCATAGAATTATGTAATAAATATTTATCAGTAGCTGAACTTACAGCTGAGAATTAAGTTCCTAAAATGTTATGTGTATCCTGTATTACTAAATGGATGTGAAACCTGGATGATAAAGGATAACATGATGAACAAATTAGAAGCCTTTAAGATGTAGTTAGATCGTAGAATGCTCAGAATATCATGGATTCAACACATTTCAAACAGAGAAGTCTTGAATAGAGTAGGTCAAGGTGAAGGTGACTTATTAAAGATGATAAAAAAGAGCAAACTCGAATATCTGGGGCATATAATGAGAGGAAGCAGATACAGGATAATGCAGTTGATACTCAACGAGAAAGATCGACGAAAAAAGAAGAATTGGTAGGAAGAAATACTCATGGCTCCGAAACCTTCGTCAATGGACTGGCTTATCAGCAGATGAATTATTACATGCCGCGCAAGATCGAGAACGATATCGGCAAATCGTCATGGAAGCTACCCACGCCTAAAACTAGGGCACGGTACTCAAAGAAGAAGAATAGTTTAAACAAAATGTTCCGACCTTTTGAATCTTATTTTGAGTATCTCATGAAAATGATTATGCAAAAAAATTTCATGGGAATATTTTTCCGAACGAACCCGAGATTTTCACCCTCTCTAATAATGAAAACGCTAAATACGAATACGATTACAAAAGATCAAAAAATTATTATTCAATTTAAAAGCAAAAATTCAATTAAAAAAAAAATAATCCCAATATTTAGGCATACGATCCGCCTCCGATAACGCGATCAGTCGGCATATTTTGTGCAGATTATTTTACTGGAATTCTAGTGATGATTTGATCAAATATTGACAAACAGAGACAATAATTATTTACACACCACATCAATTACTTTAGAATTAATTCCAATGATTAGAAAATGTCGAGAAGATAAAGTTATATTTAAACATTTTAGACATTTCAAGTTAGTTTGGTACTTTAGAAAAATAATGCGGTTCGAAAATATTAGTGTAATATTATTACTGTATAATTATTTTTTAGTTTACGATGCAGGTGAAAAACTTTATTGCAGGTATGTTGTTAGTGTGCTTATTTTAATTAGATCTATGTAGGTATATAGTGTGTGTTTTATTTTTACAAATTTACATTTTATGTATACAGTGTGTAAAAGCCAAATGGAATAAATTCATTATTTAGGTTACTGTACATATTTATAAAAAATCCCGAAACACGTCAAATTTAAATTATAATATAAAATAGTTTCGAAACACAATATATATATATATATATATATATATATATATATATATTATATATATATATATATATTATATATATATATTAGTGGATTCTCTTGGGCTTAGGTTCATAAAAAAAATTTTGTTTGATACTAAGACATTTTTATATATATTTTTTCCGACGTTTCGGCAGGAAATCCATGCCTTTTTCAAGAATATATATTGACTAAAAAAAACATTCTATGACAGACATAATATGGTTTAAAAAATAAACTTTTGACTTACCAAGCATGTAAAGATTTGGTGTTAACAATTAGACGTCACAATTAAAATAATATTAAAACATAGGACATACCCACTAAGTCACTAAAAGTAAAATGTATTTTAAATCTAATGTGTTGTTTATTGCTGTTAGCTTATCGTTTAAACAATCAGTTATTTTAACATCATAGGCGTTCTGAGATTGACTTATGTATATTTAAATTAAGTTAAAATATATTTCGTTCAAATTTTTGACATCTTTTTTATCATTTATTGCGTTATTATTTTTTTTTATTTGTATAGACTCTAGAAGCTCGCTCTTCTTCCTGTTGGGTTCACTTTTTAGGATCTTGGTTTGCTCAAAATCAAATTTATGTTTTTTTTCGTTTTCATGTTTTGTGAGGGCGGTTGAGTTTTTTTTGTCATATTTGTGGGAACGTATTCTTGAATTAAGTAGTTGACTGGTTTGTCCAGTATAAACTCCATCACAATTCAAACAGGGAATTGCATATACAACATGTGATCTTTTTAATAGAGTGGTTTTTGTTTTCAGTCTTGTAAAATTCCTTTTCAAAAGATTGTGACCTTTATGAGCAACCGTAATATTATGTTTAGACAGAAGATTTGCTATTTGTTCTGATAATCCTTTTATATAGGGGAGAGACATATAGTTTTTCTTTACCGTGTTGGTTTTATTATTATTATTGTTATTGTAAAATTTATGCAGTAACGATTTAAAAGTTGACTTTTAAATCGTTACACAGTTACACAAAATTAACAATATAAAACACTATATTAATAGTCACAAATTACAAAAAAAAACAGAGAAAAAGTTATATGTGTCCTATCTGTTTACAATGGGGAATTGCTATAAAACTTTCAAAATTGTTGTTACTGCAATTAAGGTTAACCTTTGTTTTTAAACAAAACAAATGAATATCAAAAATAATAAAACGAGCTGTCATAAGTTAACATTAAATTTAAAAAAATACTGAACAAAATATGATCATGAAAAATGAGCACCAGTGCTTGGCATTTGCTGATGATCTAACGATCCTAGCAAAAACCGAGAAAGAATTAAGGAGAGTTGAGAATTAAGAAAATCATCGAAGAAGCACAGAAATTCGGATTGGAACTAAATGAAGACAAAACCAAATATATGATCATGCGAGGGGCAGAAGGGAAAAAAGAAGACTTTAGTGTGCGGTCAGTAAGCGGTAAAAGCTATAGTTTTAAAAGGGTGGACAAATTTGAATACCTGGGTGTAGTTTTCGATGAAAATGGAAAAGAGAAATGGGAGCTCGAAGCCAGAATAGCAAAAGGGAATAAAAAAATAGGTGGTTTAGTAATTCGACCCACAGTAACATATGCCGGCGAGACATGGACATTAAATAAGATGGAAGAGGATACTCTGGAAAGGTGGGAAAGGAAAATATTGAGACGTATATTCGGAGGACTCAAGACAGAAGATGGTTGAGAAAGAATAACCAACAATGAATTAATGGCTTTATACAAAGAACTTACCATTACCAAGTTCGTCAAGGCACAAAGAATCAGATGGTTGGGTCATGTGGAAAGAATGGCAGCAAACAGAATGCCAAAACTAGTAATAACCAGAAAATTAGTCGGCCCCAAAAGAAGAGGTAGACCCAGAACGAGGTGGATTAGTAAAGTGGAGAAAGACGTTACACACATGAAGGTGAGGGACTGGAAAATAAAAGCACAAAATAGAAGCAAATGGAGAAATATTGTACACCAGGTCCTTCAGAGTAGTTAAGAATGCTATATATACATATTTAAGTTAAAGTTTTGTCGAAAATAATTGTAATTAGTTAATATTTGGATTATGTTGTAAATAAAATGCCCTAGACCTTAACGGCCTCTTGTGCGTAAAAAAAAATAAAATAAATAAATAAATTTTGCTTTACCTTTAAAATATTTATTTTGTTGACAGAAGAGTTGACAGAAGAAAGTAATACTTTATCTTCCTAATTTATAAATACGTGTCTACTAAGGGTGCATTTATTATGAATAAATATTGCAATATTGCAAAATTCATGGGTAAATAAAAAAAGACAGGTAAGATTTAGTTTCAGTAAAGTGGTTCCACTTTTTGCTTTTAAGTATTTCATCCTATAAGGACTCCTCAGAGCGAATATGGTGAAGCTTCTATAAACGAATAGTGAAAGCTCTATAATGAAATTAAATCTGAACTCTCTTCTCTGTATTTTTATGTACTCACGGTAAGAAGATAAAGAAATTAGTTCATGAAAGGTTCTTGTCTAGATGACTTGATATGTTGTAGACTGCAAATTTAGATTTCCCTTGGCAGTCTATTTATCGTCGGTTTTGCTTTAAAAATTGTAGAAGATACAGATTTGGGCAATTATCTGAATTTTGGTTCCGAAATCTAAGGAATCTTCGAATTTTGACTGTTTGTCGATAGGTTATTATATTGTAGACAGTAAACTAATTATGTATCAGATATTTTTTGAATACCTTGATAATATATATACTAAAATATATAGTTTAAGGAAATTATTAACCATAAATACATATTTAGAAAGTAATTAAAATATTTTTTATTATTAATAAATGTATTACCAAAATAAGCATTAAGACAATACAATTTTTATTACAGATCTAAACCTTCCACTGACCTCCATGCTGTAGACCATGAGCGACGAGAACTTCAACTGCACCGAAGAACCATACGGTAATTTTACCACCATCTTCGGAACGACAGACGTCCCGGAATGGGAAGCCATTTCTACTATAGCCACCTTAAGCTTTTTGATATTACTAACAGTTATCGGAAATGTTCTTGTGATACTCAGTGTTTTCACCTACAAACCGTTAAGGATTGTTCAAAATTTTTTTATCATTTCGTTGGCTGTTGCTGATCTTACCGTAGCTGTTATTGTTCTTCCCTTCAACGTAGCCTATGCTGTAACCGGAAGATGGATTTTTGGTAAGTTTTACCACTTGGTAATAATATTAACCATCATAATCTTGTTTGATAAGCATATAGTCAATGACTGATCCAAGCTTTTAAGATAGGTAGGTAGGTAGGTACCTATTTGGGTAAGCAAGGATTTTGTAATGAGTGTGGACACAAAAAAAATCAACATGTCAAAGTAAACTTTTATTTTTTATTCTGACAAGATTCGTAAATATATACTTGATCTGTATCGCCAAAGAAGCTAGTTACGAAGATTATATGTTATATGAATGTTTTATACCTAGTTTGGATTTTCTAAGGGTGAAGTAATATTTGATAATGAATTATCAGATAGAATTGTAATTTTTCTTGTGGACTGTTTTGTATTATCATCAAATAATTTTCGTTTGGATAAATTTTTTTTTTCTCAAGTCTTTGAGATTTAGTGTGAACTAGAAATATTTTTGGAGATACTCTTAAATCCGCTTCTGGTGTAGGTGAATGCTAGAAAATGTTAATATTACTTTGGATATTTACTGGAATGAAATTCTGGTGTAAGAACTATCAGATATTTTTATTTTCGTTTGGTATTTGTTCATAATTTATTTTTCTGTCTTTAGAGTTTGCTGAGTTCTACGCTGAGTTTTTACGCCCCTTGTCTAATTCTTTTCCATTTTTTCTTTTTCTATATTTCTTTTATCTAATTTAGTTAACATATGGAAGCTTCTGGAATTTGCTTCTTGCCTTTTCGTGCTTAAGTATCTGGCTATACTAAGTAAGTCGCAATAGGTTTATTTGTAGTATTTAAAGGTATATTTTCAGAAATATTTATAATAATTGTTTAGGGTTTTCAACTTGATTTGTATAGTCTTCTATTCCTTGCATGTTAAAAATTTCTCGGGTGCTATGAAGGTTGCGTCCTCGATTGCAGGTATGCTTACGATTTCAGTATCATCTATTATTACAGGTATATCAATTATTTTGAAAATTACTTTACTTGTTTCTAACATTTTTGCTCTAAAAAATTGTTTTGTTCGTGGTTTGGAGAAATTTTTACTGACGACTTTTCTGCAAATGCTAAACAGATCTGTTTTAATCTTTACCAAGGAGTCAAGAAAGATAAAACCAAAGAAATTGTTAAAATAAAGAAAGGGTAGCAAGCACACATATATATGGAATTGTTCCTCTTTGGTAATTTTCGTGGCTTATTTTAAATAAATGGCCAGAATTAAAATCAGGCAGTTTTTATGCAAAATCCATTCCAATACATCTCCTCTTCATCGCATCATAAGCGAACGGTGCAAAGTTAAAGCACACACACACACACACACACACACTAAGTGATCAACCATGCCCCTAGGAACATGATTATACAATTGTAAAGTGGGATCTACATGTCCGAAGATCAAACTGGTCACACTTTGCGATTAAAGTAGTACGTATCTGACCCCTAGGCTTTTCCTTTAGTCCTCCTAATCCTATGACTTACGTGAGGATGCTTTTGATCTGAAAGTTACTTAAGGTGCCCTGGGTAATGAGACACCTTCTGTTTTTAATGACTGTGGTTAGGCCACCTAATTGTAGGGGTAGCACACATATCGGCTTTTCTCCCTATTTACTTTACTGACTCTACAGAAATTACTCTACCATGACTTCGGGACTTAAGTCCCAAAAAAAAAAAGAAAAAGCATGTATACCGAACAGAGAGGCGCCAGACTGAGCTAACGACTCTCTGTCCGGAAAAGAGTGTTTGCCTGGCCACTTAGCCATCGATTTGGAAAAGAAAGAAGATTTTGTTCTCCTCGCCGGCTGAGCATCCGAGTGGGGTCCAGCCACCGAGCTCATATATGCTGCACATGACCTCGGTGCTCAGATTTCGAGAATAGATCTTCACTTGATCTGCATGAGGGGCCTAATCCGCAGTTGCGGTATATAAGAAGCCTGACGGGGCTTCTTTTATACTTGAGAAGTTATGAGTTATGTTAAAAGTTCATCAATCGTTCTAATGCAAATTCAAAAATAATTTAGACAGAAAGTAGGATTTTTTCTCCTAACCTAAAAGTCAAAGCATGCTCATAAAATCGATGTCAAGTACTTTCGTGATCGTTTTAAAATCGTATAAAAGTAGCCTGAACGCTAAATGACGCTTACAAGAAAACTAAAAGCATTCGAAATGTGGGTGTACCGACGCATTCTTCGTATTTCCTGGACCGAACATGTCCCCAACATAGAAGTACTCCAAATAATCGGAAAGGAGAAAAAAATCGTTAATACAATTAAACAAAAAAGCTTGAATATCTAGGCCACATATTGAGACACGATAAGTACCGTTTGCTGCAATTGATTCATCAATCAGCCCTGAGCTATCCATTGTTGAACATAGGCCTCCTTTAGACTTTTTCATCTACTTTTGTTCTGCGCCTCTGCTATCCAATTGGTCACGATTCTTTTGAGGTCATCGGTCCATAGCGTTGGGGGTCTTCCTCGGCCTCGCTTGTCAGCCCGTGGTCTCTACTCAAGCAATTTTTTTGTCCAATGTTTTTGTCCTGCAATTGATTGTCCAGGGAAAAATAAACAGTAAGCGAAGGCCAGGCAGAAAAAGACACTCATGGCTCCAAAATCTACGGAAGTTGTTCGGCTCACATCGATCGAACTATTCAGAAGCGCCGCAAACAAGATCAGAATTGCCATGTTAATAGCCAACGTTCCCAACGGACAGGGCACTGAAAGAAGAAGAAGAAGATAAAATTGGCGTATTGGAAAAACTTTAGATAAGATGCCTTTAATTAAACCAAAAAATTAGAGTATATTTGACGATAATTTTTAAATTCAAAAAAAAAATATTTGTAGATGTACTTACCTTTATTTCATTGCTTCACCCTCACTTTTAGCTTTTTGCTAATAAGTTAAAAATTAATTTGTTTTTTTTTTATTTCAGGTATCTACATCTGCAAAATGTGGCTTACGTCCGACATTCTCTGCTGCACTGCCTCAATCCTAAATTTGTGCGCCATCGCCCTCGACCGATTCTGGGCCATCACCGACCCAATAAACTATGCCCAGAAACGAACTGTTAAACGTGTGTTAGTTATGATAGCGATAGTCTGGACGCTCTCTCTAATAATTAGTGTTCCTCCTCTAATCGGCTGGAACGATTGGCCGTCACCCGAGATATTCGCCGAAGAACAAGTGTGTGTGCTGACCAAGCGCCAAGGCTACGTAATATACTCATCTTCCGGATCTTTCTTCATACCTTTACTCATCATGACAATAGTGTACATTGAAATATTTATAGCGACGAAACGAAGATTAAGGGAGAGAGCTAAAGCTGCTAAAATTAACATATCGAAGACGGTAGGACGAAACGAAGAGAACAGAGACAGGGAAAGCGTTAGCAGCGAAACAAACCATAACGAACATCCAAACGAACAAACTAAATCAAACGACAAGTTGCTGAAGAAAAAATCCAAAGACAGTAGCAAGAACAATCTTAAACCAGTACTCGTGCATGAAGATTCATTGACTGATATCGGAGAAAACTCATCGGCGTCAAATAGAAAGAACTCAAATCTTAATACAGAAAAACCTGTTGCCAACAGCTCTTCGACTACCGTCACAATATCCAGCTCCAAGCCCAGTCCTAAAGTGGTACTAATAGACGGTGCAAAGAAGCCTGGTTTCGTTTCCCAGTTCATCGAAGAAAAACAGAAAATATCTTTGTCCAAAGAACGGCGAGCAGCTAGAACATTAGGTATTATAATGGGTGTCTTCGTGGTATGCTGGGTACCATTTTTCTTAATGTATGTGATTATACCCTTTTGTCCTGTATGTTGTCCTTCTAGGAGGTTTGTAAATTTTATAACGTGGTTAGGGTACATAAATTCTGTTCTAAATCCTATTATTTACACGATCTTTAATATGGACTTTAGAAGAGCGTTTAGAAAATTACTGGGACTTGGTGGGGGGAAAATTTAATGTTAAGATAATTTGTGATTACTGTAGCCAAAGAAGGTATCGGTTTGTTTTGTTACGTTTGATGATAGGTTTTATCGAGATGTTTTTGCTATAAATTTTATCTAGTTATTGACCAAAAGGGAGATGTAAATAATAAACATATTTCATATATTAAATATATATTTTTTTTATTTATGACATATTTGCTTTAAAAAAATAGTATAAAAGATAGTATTGTGTTAAAATCTTTAAACTAAACACTTTAAACTAAAAAACTAAACAGTTGCTTTAGAATATACGCAAAAAAAATAAACTCTTAAATACAATAGTTACGTAAGATACAATAGAGGATACAAGTTTAAATACACTAGATTATGGCTTTAAATGTTACAATAAATAATATAAACCTCGATCTAACTTCCAAACAGTAAACATATTAGCAATTGGCGATAATTGATATTAATATTAGCTTCTTAGTTTGGACAAAATAAGGAATTTTTTGATGCAATTGTAGAATTTTGTTCATATCTAAAATTTAAACGAAGGTGCAGTGTAAAACTGTTAATTCTTCTGAACTAAAAACTGTAAGTTTAATTTTCTTATTATATCTATAACAAATCAAGGGTAAATAACTATTTTGCCGATTTGTCGTGAGGCTAATTACCAGTCCTTTCGGTAATGATCCAATATAACCAGCAGGGTCGTATTCAGATTATTAAGCCCAAGCATACGAATGGATTCAGCAGCGGGAACTTCCACCATGGAAATTTTTGCCAATCTACTTGCGAACCAACAATTAAAATTATATTCTATCGCTCTTAATCAACCTACAAATAAATTTTCAAACAAAAAACAAGCAATTCTACTTCACTCACTCCCAAACTCTAGTATTCAAGTTTACCTTAGTGCAATAACCTCTAAAGTGGATCTCAGAAAAATACATTCTATTTCTAAAATTATAAATGATCATATTTGTATCTTCTTTACCAGTAAACAGATACTCGATGAGTTTCTAGCAAACGACAATAGAATTGTGGTAATCAATCAAGAACGTATGCAAGCCTGAAGACTAATAACTCCAAATAAACGATTGATTATTTCCAACGTACGTCCAAGTATTCCGCACAGCATTATAGAAGAACAACTGAAAAACTTAAGTTTACATCTAATAGCTCCAATTGACTTTCTCAGGATAAGGACTTTAATTCAAGCATTCAAGCATATCTTGATTTTCCGACGATACATTTTTATAGCGTCAACTAACTTACACTTACACTTACAAGACAAATTACCTGATTCTATGGTAATTAACCATGGGATTAACCAGGATATCAACTATCAAATTTTCTTTTCCATCGAAAAACAGTCTTGCTACTTATGCAAGCAGCAAGGGTATTTTGCATCCCAGTGTCCCAATAAAAATAATCAGACATCTTTAAACAACACCCAAAATATTGTTCATCTAAACTTTCCCAGGAAGTACACCAATCAGCTCCCCTTTCAACAATTTCTTCTACATAATCCTCTCCTACTCTACTGATACTGAAACTACAGTACAACAATCAGCTCCTTTATAGAAAAATTGCTCTACACAATCCTGGCTTACTAAGGCTGAAACGTCTAGAAAAATAATTACCTCTCAATCAATAAAGCATACTTCGATAAGCTGCCATCTACCCAATAAGACTTAAATGGATAACTTTGATCAAGATAAATCCTCATCCCAGCACCCTAAACGAAACCGATCTGAAATAATATCAGCTCTAATAAGAGATAACGAAAAGGCCTTTGCAAAATCGAAGCCACGAAACAAAAAACCAAAAACTCAACAACAAAACAACAGAAACCTAGTAAAAGATCTTACCAAATGCACCAGTCAATTCTTCAAAGAAAACTCCAACAATGGGTACTCAACACAGGAAAAACTTATTGACTTCTCTGAAAATGCGCATGGTTCTTCAGATTCTCTCAGTGTCGGCAGAACTTAGTCGGAGGACATTTTTCTCCATGAGCGTCTTGGTCTACCTCATTTTCTTTTAGTGGGCAAAGCCTATTTTCTTCATTTTTTGGCTATCTTTGTTCAGCCGTTCTCTAGAGGTGTCCATACCAGTTTAGTCTTTTGACAAGTTTTTATGTTGGAATGTTCTAAGTCTTTTTAATTATTATTAATGTTACAGCTTTTTTGAAAGTTTAAGAAGTCTACAATATTTAAATAAATAATCAAATTATTGTCAATACAATATTGAGTATTATGAAACATAAGTTTACCTTACTAAACACTATACTATCTAGGTATTATTTAAATATAATATTATTTGAATATATATAAGTGGTCCTTACTTATACACCTATTAATTACATCTCTTTTTGGTGAAGAAATTTTGTTGAACTATTTTAAAAGTATGTTAGTAAACTATTTTTTCGAGGATTTCAAGGAATATTAACATAAGAAACTTAAAAGCGCTTTTTAATATTTGCATTCTAGTATTAGTATTAGAAAATCATACCAAAGAATCTATTAATTTGAAAAAAGTATAAAATTGTTCCTTAAAATAAAGCTTTTAACAGTTTTATTGACCCTTTTATTAACTGTAAATTGTAAATATTTTTTTTCACTTCAAAATTAAAAATATAATCAAAACGATTTTAAAAGAATGCTAATACCTCATTCAAGTAATCATTAACAATACTATTGACGAGACATTAAGTAAATAAATAAAGCTTCTACTTAATTCTATTTTACTAGTTGGTGGTAGTCTCGAATAAACTCCATACGTCGCGTATAGCGTTACGCCGTACGTCGCCTTTGTACGTCGCGTTCATTATTTATTGTATAAATCGTATATACCCAACCTATGTCTTAACGCAAAATGTATGTATGGCGTTTATTTTAGACCAGCGCCCAAAGGTATGATTTCGACAACGACTCCAGACTGCAGACAGCTACTGCAGCCGACAGTTGCAGTTACCCCGCGGTAGATGTCATTACTTTGCAATATTATTTTTATGTATTAGACTGATTACGACATATCACTGAAACTGCTGTTCGGCAGAATGTCATGTGCTATGCCGTCCCGTCTGATGGCAGACGATGCACTTGAACAAACACAGTACCTCCGTTAGTGCCGTCAAAAAGTTGGACGACTTTTAAGCATTGACAAACGAAGAAGGTGATTATTTTATTAATCTAGCGTATAAATATGTTTTTCAAATATGCGAATTATAAACATTCACATCTTAAAAAAACATGTTTGGCCAAAGTTCGACAAAAAAGTGAATAAAATCTTTTGATCAATGTTTCATAAGAACCTTCTTTCGTCTAGTTAAGTACAATGGTTGTAGGCGTAGAATTTCTTCTAAAGTTTTTATGTAATACCCAACCTCAACTTTTTTATGCCATCACGTAACTGAAGTAGCTGCAGCTGACTACGAAATCAATACGACAGCAACTGTTGCCGAACGGCAACTGCAACTACCGTCTGCAGTTTGTTTCTGCTATCTGCAGACATTGTCTGAACTTAAGACTTAAAGGACTCGGTGCCCGTTTCAGAGACCGATATTCGAATAAAGCCATTCCCATGAAGAAAACTTTAAAAACCTAGAAAAAGCCGACAACTGTTATTGCGAAAATACAAAAGTGTTGACTTATATTTATTTTAAGTATGATTTTTATTAGATTCAATAAACAATAAAAACTAAAGTTACATGTAAGAGATACAAATTTTGTTTTTACAATATGGTCGAATATTTCTACTCTTCTTGCTACCAATGTTAATAACTACACATCATAGACACACATAGTTATTCATTATTAGTTTCAAACCACATATTTTCCCTATTAGAATATTCTCTAATCGAAGATGCCTTTGCAAATGTAAACGCTGCTGGAAATGTAGACGAATAATTCCCATATAATGTTTTCTAATAAAACGTCTTCGAAAAATTGAACTTTGATTATTATTTAATATTTATATGTATATTTTAATATTATATCTGTTTTTAAAGATTCACTAACAGACCTCATTACTCATTGCACCATTGATCTTTCGAAGGACTCCACTTTTATGGTTTAGCTTTTAGTCTAGTCTCCACTTTTTCTTTTGGTCTTCGGTTAGCTTTTATTAATGTTTGATACTATAATTTAAAAAGAAACTAGGAAAAACCAAACATTTGTCCTATGAGATTTTAGAGCCTATTGCAATTGCTCTTTTGGATTTAATTTCTTTATTATTTATATGTTTGTTTCTTCTTTAGTTGTCTTTGTTCTCGCTCTTTGTTTATAATATAGCTTGGTGGTTGTCCGTATGAATGTTAAAAAATTGTGTTTAAGTTCCTCATGTCTCACTTTGTCAAATGGTGTGTTGTAGTCAATAAATCGTTGACATTGACATTAACATCTACAGCATAGGCACAACTACTGATTTTCTTATCACCAGGCATTTTTTAAATCTAAATCGGGTATCTCCAATGTCTTCTTTGACATGGGCATATATCCTGTGGTATAATTTTTAGAAACAGTTTTAACTAATCGCTCATTAAATATATCGTGCGGTATTCATTGCAGTGTTTCGCTTTTGGTTTCTTTGGAAGGTTATAACTGTAGATATGAGCCACTCTTGTAGTATTATGCCAGTTCAATATAAGTTATTAAAAAAGTCTTGTAATGTGTCGCTGGTCCGGGAGCTTTTCCGTTTTTTTTATATTAATAAGTAAATTGAATTTCTTCTTTTGGTATATCTGGTATTGTTCCATTTTCTTAGAGATTCTTTTCATTTTCTCTACAATTGCCTTTAAAAAGGGTTTTAATATAGTTCACATCTAGACTTGAATAATTCCTTTGGGGCCGTTAGGATTCAATTATTCTTGTTTTACAAATTTTAAGGAATTTCTTGGGTTTTTGTTTTTTCTGTTAGTACATTTCGCTCTAAAAGCGTGATGTTTTTTTGTAGTTTTTCTATTTCTATGCACTTTTCTTTGCATTTGGAATTCTCTGTTAAATTTTATTTGAACTTTTTTTAAATTTTTTTATGATATTTGTAAGTTTTGTATGGTCTATAAGCAATAAGATATTTTCTCTGTCATCCAGTTCTTGTTTTACGGTTTGTTTAAACGGGTTTTTATGTGACAGACTAGAAATATTAGCAGAAGATAACAAGCTAGTGGTTCTGAACACATTTTATAAACTACCACCGAGGAAACTGTATACATGGAAGGCACCAGCAGATAAACCCCATAACGTAATTACGCCCACATACATAGACCTAACTACGACATGACAGCCCTGCAACATCCTGAAGTTAAAAAGCAAGTGGGGGAATATATTAACAACAACTAAAAGAAGAAAATAACATCCAACGAGAAATCAATTAATTCAGAGAAATAATTAAGACAACTAAACAAGATCTGCTAAAACCAAACAAAGAAACAAAGAAGAAATCTTGGATGACTCGAGAAATCCTTCATTTAATGGAACGCAGAAGTTTAATTAAAGGAAATAAAGATGAGTATAAAAAAATGCAGGCTGACATCAGAAGAAAAATAAGAGAAGCTAAAGAAAAAGAAGCTGTAGAGAAATGTAAAGAAATAGAAAGACTACAAGCCAAGCATGACAATTTTATTGTACACAAAAAGGTAAAAGAAATAACGGGTACTTTTAAAAAGCGAACACAAATAAAACTCATAGACACCAATGGAAAATTATTCATTGACACCCAAGAGATGAAACACAAATGGAGAATATATTTGGAGACACTTTTTCAAGATCAAAGAACAGATTATAGGCATCCATTTTCAGAGAGGATGACGGGCCCGGACATACTTAAATCCGAGGTAGAAGAATTAATACAACGGATGAAAAGCAGGAAAGCTGTAGGGCCTGATAATATCGAAGCTGAATTTTTAAAACTCTTGGAGGAAGAAGGAATAAATTGGATCACGGCTGTCTTTAATAAAATATACAATACAGGAATCATCCCTGATAAATGGCTAGAATCAGAATTCATAGCGATACCTAAAAAAACGGGGGGCTAAAAAGTGCTAAGAATATCGAACAATCAGCCTAATGAGCTACATATTGAAACTGGTTATTAGAGTCATCCATGAAAGAATTTATAAGAAGTGCGAGGAACAAATATCGGACAGACAGTTCGGCTTCATTAACGCAGTGGGTACCAGAGAGGCACTTTTCGGAGTACAGGTACTGATTCAAAGATGCAGGGACAGGAAAAAGGCATTTGACAGAGTTCAACATCAAAAGATGATAAAAATTTTAAAAGAAGCAGACCTGGATGACCAAGACCTAAAAATAATTACAGAACTATACTGGAATCAGACCGCATACATGAAAATTAACGGAGAAGAAACAGATCACATAAAAATACTACGAGGAGTTAGACAGGAATGTATCCTATCGCCGTTGATATTTAATATGTACTCAGAGAAAATTTTTAACGAGGCTCTTTACGGAATAGAGCTCCTTCTAAATGGTGAAAGAGTAAACAATGTTAAATATGCCAACGACACCATGGTGATTGCTGATAGTTTAGAGAGACTTCAGAGGCTAATGGACAGAATAAACGAGTACAGTCAACAGTACGGACTAAACATTAATACCCACAAAACGAAACAAATGATTACCAGCAAGGAGAATATAAACGGAGCTCATCTATACCTTAATGGTATCAACAGATAGAGCGAGTAAAACAGTATTGCTACCTGGGAACTATTATTAACGAACAGTAGAGCAATGTATAGGAAATAAAGTGCCGCATAGAAAAGACAAGAACGGTCTTTAACAAAATGAGGGCCATCTTTAAAAGTCACAACATATCCCTAGATATAAAAATGAGACATTTGAGCTGCTCTGAGAGTTTTCTCTGTGTTGTTGTATGGGGCGGAGGCATGGACGCTTACAGTCACCACTATTAAAAAACTTGAAGCATTTGAGATGTGGCTTTATAGAAGAATGCTGAGAATATCATGGACAGCAAGGATTACGAACAAGGAAATTCTAGGAAAAATGAAAAAGGAACCAGAGATTGGGTTTACGATCAAACGCATAAAATTGCAATATCTGGGACACGTTATGAGAAATCAGCACTGTTACTCCCTGCTGCAGTCTATATTGCAAGGTAAAGTCAAAGGTAAGCGAGGACCCGGTAGAAGGAGAATATCATGGCTGCGGAATTTAAGAACATGGTTTAAGAAAACCTCAACGGAGCTGTTTCGAGCCGCAGCGAGCAAGGTTATGATTACCAATATGATTTCCAACATCCGAAACGGATAGGAACCAGAAGAAGAAGGGTTTTTATGATGGTATATCTACGACTTTTCTGATAAAAATCCACGTTGTATTTATATTTACATTAACCATTTAAATAAATAAATAAATTCTTCGTTTTTTTGAAATTTTAATTCATTTGTGATTAGTTTTCTTTTATCGCGTTATTGTTTACATTCCTTATGTCTATTTGGTCAGAAATGTGCTTCTTTTTTAATAGTGGGGTTGGGATTTGTTGTTGTCAAAAATGTGGTGAGCTGTATTCACAATAATTGAACCTACTTCCATTTACG